TACTTAACCTTCCACTGACAAGGAACTATTTTGAGTTAAACTGTAAGAAGATTGGAAGAGTGTGAAACTGCTAAGGCATAAGAAATTACTACAGTTTTTCTAGGCATAATACAGTTATTATATTAAATGGCTCACTTCCTTCTCAGAAATTGACTCAGTCATTTGAACTTTAAAGGAAAAAGGAAACATCTCTACTGAGTAAAGAGGAAGACTCCTAGACTTCTGGAGGACATCAGATTTATCTGTTGGTTTTGTAGAATATCAACTATTATAAATACTAATCTATAGCTTTTGGTATAGTGAAGGACTTCTTATTTGGAGATAAGAAAAAGCAGTTGCAGCTTTATGACAGCTACTCAGCAGTCTGATTCACCAAAGGTGGATGCTTAGCAGGTACCAGCACTTCAAGAGAACTTGCTGAATTGTTGCAGTTCACTCAATACAGGTAAACTGCATTTCTCTGATTACAGTTTATGTACAGCACCATGTGGCCATTCAAAGGACAGCTGCAGAATGCACAGAGCCTGACCCAGATCATCTGAGGTTTCCCTGCATTCAAGAATAGAAGAAAAAAAGTGAAGAGGGACTGCCTTCCCTCCTCAGCTGCCTGTTGTAAGGCACTGATAGGCAACAGCCCACAGGAAATGAATACTCTCACACAGCTCCTCTAAAGCAAAGGCAGTGACAGCCAGAGGTTGGCAGATGTATGCTAGGGAGGGGAGGAGGGACAGGAAGCAATCAGCAAGAGATGCTGATAAAAGGAAAGAGCCTAACAACTCTGAGAAAAAAACCTTCCTGCTCCTGCAGAGACAAACTGAAAAATGCTAGACCAGGGTTTTCCCCCAGACTAAAAAAGCTGTTACAGGTTGCTTGTAGCAGAGTCAGTATACAGATCAGCTAATTTAATTATTTTTGTAGCAGTGTTTGCTGTTTTCCCTCCCTGGACTTACATATTCACCAGATTTCAACGTTTTCATCACTTAATCAAATAAAGTATTTATTGAATGTTTTTGTTTTGTTTAATCACTATCTCCTGTTTCAGGCTCTGGCTTTTGATTTGGAACCCAAGCAGCTAAAAAGCATCTCTATTAGGAAATACAAAACTGTATAGATTACCACAGTGATTTAGATAATATTTCCACTACCTCAGATAACAGCTGCTCCTTCACACCTTTCAGCTCATTGCATCAACTGCAAGCCAGCCTGTCTCACTAGAAAAGTTTACCGTTCAGAAATAAAGACTCAGAACTATATGAAGATGTTCTGTTATTGCATCCAACCATGTACAGTTGTATGATCTTGGGTAACATGGCAACCGAGCACTTAGATAATTAACTATGTCCAAAAGCCTTCTTACAGAGGATTAGGTCTACAAAATTAATGAATTCTCCTTGCTTCAAGCAGTAGGAGAAAATAAACAGCTTTGCTGCCCACATCAATTTGGAAAGACCAGATTTATGTATATGATTATGCCACTGGTGACAGTGCTTAGCACTGACAACAACCTGCAAGTCTCATGCATTTTAGCAGGGCTGACAGATGCTTAGATTTATTAAGTCTGTCAATACTGTTTTCCTATGTCTGCTACCTGCCCATGACATCTCATGACAGAATTTGACCTCTCATAACAGAATTTGACATCTCATAACAGAATTTTTCTAGTGGGTAGGATGGTCTGCAGGGTGGGGACTGGAAAAATAGTTTACAGATGATTTCCCAATGCTATTGTTAAAGGAGTGCGAAAGCTGCAGAGCTGCAGAGCTTCACACTCTTCCCTATTTGTTTTTGTCTGCTGTTTTCTTGTTCCCATCCCCTATGTTAGTCAGGCATTTATTTTTAGATGAAGAACAGATAAGCAGAACAATCCATTTCAGGGGAACACATCTTCACCTGTCACCCAGCTGACTGACTGTGACTCCTGTGCATTATGCTGCTGACTATTCAGCAATGAGCTGATCACCTGGGCCTACCTGAATGGAAATAAATGCAGTGTCTGAGACACCATTTTAAAGATCTCTTTAGGAGTGAACTGTTATGCCAAACAGCACTGTGTAATTCCCTTCCTCATCCACTGTTGTTAAGAATATTTTTCCTGAACAAAAGCATTAGCAATCCCACAATCCTGTATTGTGCTTTTCTCAGCAGGTTTCAAAGACCTTCAGGATTTCTCCCCTGCTCTCCAAGTAAAGTGTGAGGTGGGTGGGAATTGTACAGGGCTGGCTGACAGAGTGCAGGTCAACAGGTACCCATCTTATGTCTATGCATGGGCACAACGGCTCAATACTGGTGTCCTCTTCTGGGAGGGTGCTTGGAAACATCCTGGTCTAATGGTATAGATGGGATGAACAACCCTGCTGTGTCAGACTCTTTCCATCGTTTTTCTCAGGAGCTTAGAGGCAGTGCTCTTGCAGCATGACAGAAGAGCATAGAGCCTTCATGAAAAAGGAGGAATTCTTGTGTTCTCTGTGGCCCACCCACAGACAATCTAATTAATTGGGGGCACTCAGAGCACAGTGAACGTCTGCATGCAAACCCAGCCTGCAGGCCTTAGAAGGACACTGTGCACATGCAGCCAAAAGGGCCATGGCACATCTGATACTAAAAGCAATTATAATACTCTTTAAGTTGAAGTTTTTGGAGTTTAGGACTCATCTTACACATAGAAACTCTAATCTCATCTCAGGGCAGCTGTGGATCAAAACCAGTCCATAAATAGGTGTACAACATTCACTAGCAACATTTAGAACTGTGTACCCTGTCCAAGAAGGAGATTCTCCTCACAGTTATCTTCTCTCCTCTCCTCCCCACCAGGAATATCCTAAAATGTAAGTACAGCTTCCCTCTTCCAACCTCGATAAGACTGCAATTGTGGCTGAGTTCATAGGTAAACTCACTTATGACCGAAATTTCTGATCTGTTTAGAGATATATTTATGTGATAGATGACAAAGAAAAAAACCAGATTACCATCAAAAGTAATGTATTACACTGTGTTTCAATCAAAACCATCACAAACAGCAGGCATAACTATCCCAGCTCCCCCTGAAAGAGGCTATTTTAATTCCTGTATGTCTGCTTGTGCCCTCATAAGGCAGGCTCTAAAATCCAATCCCATCCCAGAGCTGCAGTCCCAGCTAAAAACTGGGCCTTACTGGGAAGAGTTTAAAGACACTTAACAATGCTTTCTGACACTGCTATGGCTGAAAATGCAGTCAGCTCAGTGAAGAGCTAATTCCTCCACACCTCTGGGAATTCAGCTGTTGCAGTTTCACTTCTGCTCCTCCCATGCTCTCAAAAGCCTCATGAGATTCATACAGCCTTTGGGCATAGTGTTTACACTTCCACAGATTACAATCTGAGACAATGAGCTCTTTGGGAAACAATTGGCTTTTCATTACTGACTGTGTCACATACACTCAAGTGCTTCAGCCCTGGCCCATGGCTGACAAACTCTAGGATGACTGAATGACTTATAAGAAAATAATCAACACCATACAGTGCAGGCTGCAAAGTGTCATGAAAACACCTAAAAAATATGATGACACCTCTCTGTACTTACCTTGGGTGGGATAAGTAAAGAAATACCAACACTATTTGCAGGAGAAAAATTATTCTGAGTTTATGAAGGGAGTTTATTTTTATAGATGGGGGGTATTTTAGGTTGCCTTTTGCTTGTTTGCTTTTGATAAAACTGCCAGAGCAGCCTTCTTTGCAATTACTATGCTGCAAAAGGAGTTATGAAAAATATGTCTTACCATCATAGTATTAGGGTAAACATGGCTCTGTCTTCCAAGAAAGAGAATGTGCATAAGAACAAGGGAGATCAGATGATAAAGTTTCACAGCATGAATATGAAATAGCATAGCTAAGATTTCAAAAGCTCACCAACTGACTTTGAATCACGTTTGTTGCAGAGACATACATTTTGTACCCACAACTTAACACACTGTATTTTTTCATTATGAAAAAACCCATAGTTTTAAAAGCAGTGTAGGTGGCTTTTTTTATTATTATTTTTGAGTGGAGCAGACCTTTTATTTGCGTTCTACTTGTTTGTCTGATTAAATAATTCTGGTATTTCTCTTACCGTTATGTAAGTAACCTCTCTTGTCACTGTACTGCAAAATAAGCCTTGTGCAGGTGATTTGTGGAGGAGCCAAGACCTCTCTAGAAAGATCTGAACATTCTGGAGCACATTTGAAAAAGGAAAGAAGAAGGGAGCTACCAGAAATCACACAGAACTGTCTTACAAGAGAAAAGTAGGTAAGGGAAACACAAATTTCCTGAAAATTATTCAATGTTAAAAATATTTAAGAACCGGAGCCAATTCAGGTAATAGGAGTACTGAACTGCAACACCTTAAAATAATGCTTCAAGGAGAAAAGAAAAAGGCAGCTGGAAGATACATGGCTGTAATTGACAGATACACCAAGTAATTAATTATTAAATTCATGCTGTTTGTCAGCTGCAAATGGAAGGCTTCTGCATAATTTAAGACAGTATTTTAAGTACTACTGAGCCTTCTGCTTGACATGTCTAATTTTTATCCAACTATTGCACCCCATCACAAGAGGGGACACCTCCCTGTCTTTGTTCAGTTTTAACACCTGACTTCTCATACTTACAAGCAGTTACATTTTTTTTTTATAGAAATATAATTCTATATTCCCATTCAGAATTGTTCTACTCCCCTCCCCCCAAATTGCACCAGTGAGGCCCCTATCAGCAGAAAAAGAGACAACACTGTACAGAATAGAACAGGAAGATTACTTAAAAGAGACAGTATCACATCCATACAAATATACCAACCAGAACTATCTTCCTGAAGCATTATCAATTCCAGGTTGTACTTCAAACTGGCACATTTCTAGTTCACATTATATTGTCTTTATTCACACCTAGGTGCAAAGATCTTCAATTCTGCTAGGCCAGGTCAAAGTGTACACATGACTGCTATTTTCCAACCCAAACCAGCTCAACAAGGTTTTCTTGCACACTTACTCTGGAGATGGTCAGGGGCATGTTGAAGTCCTTGCCCCCTTGCAGTCGGAAGCCCCAGGGTCCAGGTCCATTCAGAGTCACACTGTAAGCCATGTTGTACCACTTCCACAGGCAGCAACAGGGCACTGCAGGACAGAAGGATGGGCAGACAGAAAAAAGTGTGAAAAAACAGACTGAGAACAGGCAAGGGTTTTACATAAATGAAAGCAATTCTGTCTCTGCCTTGCCTGCTCAGTCGTGCTCTGATAGCACCTAAGAATAGATGGGAGCTATAATGCAGATGCTGATATCCCAGCTGAGGAGGGCCCATAAAAGGTTTGTAACCAGACACCTACTATGCAAAGACTTCATGACTCACAGGTCTAATATAGTCCCCACGGAAGGGGACAGATCTTTCTAGGCTCCTCAAGCCCCTCATGCTGCTCAGTCACTTTATGGACAAAACACATGTTTTAATAAAACAAGCAAACAAAATCCCACTCTAAAAATCCCAAACACCCAAGTCTCTTCACTAACCTGTTAACAACTACAAAGCCATTTTTAAATTCTGCTTCAGCAGAGAGGTATCTTGCACTGTGACATATAATACAAGCTCTTTCTATATAGATAGTTCCACATGTAACAGAAAAGGCACCAAGAAAATGTTAACCTTCTGCAATGCTTTGTTAAACTGAAAAATGTACATACTACATTTATTTAGCATCACTGAAAAAAAAATCCCACAACTTCATGTTTGGCTCTTGGTTCCACAGCCCTTGCTTTCCCTAGGAAAAATTAACATTTATTTTTTCTGAATACAAAAAGATCATGGGATACCTCTAGTCAGCATATAATTTCTGTGATAAAAGCGCAGTTTCACTACATACCTGTTCCATCATTTTAATACAAGTCTTCTAAAGGTGTGACGCTTGAATTAAAGGCTAAGAATACAAACAGTCAGCTAATTGCTGCCTTGATTAATTCCTTGATTTTTTCATGGTGTACATTCCAGTTCTTAGGAGTTCCAGAAAACTATAACCCTGGCTCAGTAATGCTGGATAGCAGTTCTGCCCTAGATTGGAAATTGCTAAAATACAGAGGGCACAAGGGTAGGGAAGAAGATGTTGGCAGAACTACAGATATAAACAAAAAGTTTCTGCTCTTAGAGTAAAGACACAAACATTAAATAACACTCACCCCTTTCAAGTCATCAATTTGTGCAGGACCTCCAGAACCCCTCTTCTGTATCTTTGCAGCATTTATCCTCCTCTATCCTCTGGTTAGAAAGAAATTGCCATTATATTAAAAAGGAGGGGAAAATGTCCCTCAAACATGGGTTCTACTTTGATAATCAAAAAGACAAGCAAGCCCACACAATGCACTGGAGTGAGGCAGCTCAGCTTGAACATTGACCACCCTGCCAATACACCTACCTTAAAACATGACAAATATCTGATTACAAAACAGCAGAGAGCAAACACTACCAGGAACTCAGTCTTTGTCTAAAGAGATGGTCAATAATTTTCAAAACCACGAAGCAATAAAAGTTTCTGTCTAGCATTCACAGTGCCAGAAAAGCCATTTGTACGAGGGAATAAGTAATCTCTGCATAGGCACTATACTAAACCATACAACCTTCTGTTTTAGCCAGAGGTCCACATTAAACCACAGCAATTCACTCAGATTTAAATAAAAGTTGCACTAAGCCAGTGGAACTGGCCCCAACCAAAATGAAAGCAAATAGCAAGATAGAGCTTGAGAACAAAGCAGGGTTTTGATGTCTCACAAATACCTCAAAGGTACATTTACATTCACAGTATACATAACCTGTGCTCTGTGAGTCCAGAACCACTGATGTTTGGATAATTATTTGAAGGGAGGCAAAATGGACTTGTTGGACTTAAAATGGCAGAGTTTCCTAGCCTGCCAGTTTATCTAGTACTGATTATTTTTTTTTTGAAAGCCACATGCACACACAAAAGTTTGAAATCGTATTCTCCTTGTACTTTTACTTTTCCTAGGAATTCACTGCTGGTTTTAGTGCCCTTTCTTGGCTCCATTTCAAGAGTTCAGGAGAACAGAATCAAAGCAGGAGTAGGATAAACATAACAAGTCATTGCTTCACTACTAAAGACAGTAACACACAAATATTAGAAGAAAGCCCACAGTTTTATGGACTTAAAATTCTGTGCATGTTACCTTCCCATACCTAAATCTTCAGTTATTTGTGTCAAAAACAGAAAAGGGGGAGAAGCAAAACTCAGAACAGAATAAAACCACACAATACACTGAAGAGAGCTAAGCACTGAGAAACAGAGATGTTGTTGAATCAAACACTGTGTGCTTCTGTCCTACTTTCACATCTCTAACATGCTATTTTCTTATCAGGACATCTGAAAGGATCTGAGAGATCCTCCAGGCTGAGTGGTGAGCTAAGAAACGAGAGCGGGCATCGCATTCGGGTCTCTGTCATTTGAATGAAATGTTAAACTGAGGTCACTTGTTCCTACTCCTTTGGTTTCTGTCCATGTCTGCACGGATGTTCAGCATAGCTTGGCATTTTTAAAAGGAAAGTGTAGAGGATCTGCCAGTGTCCCGGCCAACATTCCCCTTCAACACACCAGGACCACAGCTCTTTCATGCATCTGCACTATCCCTATCAGGTGCAATTCAGAAAAAGAATATTCCAGAATTTTCTCGCTCTAAGCCTCTCTTAGAGTGAGAGTGAGTGTCTGTATCCCCCCTGCCTGTCTGAAGAAAGCTCTGCTCCTAATAATGAAGTTAAAACGCTACAGAAGCTCATGCTGTAGTCACAGGTCCATTTGTTAGGGACACCCTTAGCACAGGTTTCACCTTCTACAGACTTTCAGTACAATCAGCCTCTGAATAACAAGGCTGGTGATTCACCCAGATGGCTGCTTCAGCCCTGCCCTGTTTTCAAAGGTGAGACATCAGTGAAGCAGGTACAGCGTCGCCACAGCTACCAGCACAAACCTCGGCAAAACCTCCTGGGAAACCAGAGGCTGAAATAAACTGTGTGTACAGAACTGTCAATTTCCTTCTTTTTCAGAGGCTTCTGATGTTTAGATTAGGTTTTAAGTTGCTTTACATAATTGCCTGCTAGTCTGTTTCAAAAATAAGTTTTGTTTGCTCAGATTTTGTTTCTCATGGTGCGCCTTCTTCCCTACATTCTCTGGCTACGTCAAAATCCATGACTTGCTTAAAGCTCCCTCCCTTCAGAGAGAAGCTATGCTGAGTCAGATGAGGTCACTGATGTAAGGGGTGACATTTAAACAAAAAACATATTCCAGGCTCAGGGTGACATTTTCTCCACACATATCAAACCAGAGGATTTTCCAGAGCTCCCCAGGCACCCCCCCTCCTGCCCCAGGCTATTCCCAGCTGACTGATGGGAACAGTTGTGAGGAAGCTGGATGGGCACCAGGCACAGGAGAGCGCCACCACCTCCAGCAAACGCCTGTGAGCCCGAGCAGAGCTGTCCTTGCCCAAGCCCAGCAGAGATGGTACAGCAGGAAACAATTCACACGCGCTGGGAGACCGTGCCGCGCGTATTCCAGTGAGCTGGCGCTGGGAGAGCCGCAGCTGCGCGCTCGGGAGCGCACACACGGGAAGTGAATGAAATAAAAGCCACTAGCGGCAAGGCTAAATTAAGGTGGAAGGAAACAAGTAATGGAAATTCCAATTGTTCAAGTTGCCACTACTTCACAAACATTAGTCAGGGGTTATATTTTAGCTCCTGCGGCACAGGGGAGACTTGAATGACTGTTACTGCAGCAGCAAGGTTGTATCATTTGGATCATCAAGGATTTCAGAAGGGGATTGCTTGAGAGCTTGACTTCTGCGCTGCAACAGACTATGAATCTCTGGCAAATAAAAAGATGCTTACAAGGTCATGGTTTCAATGTTTTATGTTTAGGCAAGTGAACGATTTATGCTGTGCATGAAAAAACTATCATCTCTTTAATAGAAAAATGTTCAACAAGATGGATAAGACTTTTCCCTAGGGAAAAAAAACCCAGTCAAACAAACCCAAACAAAAACCAACCAACAAAAAAACCCCAAACAAATGAAAAAAAAACAAAAAAAAAAAAAAAAACCAGGCAAAAAGATTGTCCTGCTTTCAGTCTCCCTCACCTGAGGGAGTGGCAGTACAAGAAGGCAGCATTAGGATTTATGACAAACACACCCTTTTTGTCCCATGGATTCCTGAACTGTCCCCAGGACAATTATCTACAATCCTTCAGAAGAGTGGCAAAGTGAGGTAAATGGAGCCTTTGAAGAAACTACTCACTAAACACATGCATGAAGAAAACCCAAGCTTTGAACCAGTTGTTCAATATAGGCAATCCTAGAGTTTTCCAAAGTTTTAAATTGACCCAATGATAAGTATATTTCACATTAAATCAACAGCTGTACTTGGGGACTGATCTTCATTGTCATCCACAGGAGGAAATAGTACACACTTAGTATATATTAGCTAAGCAATGCTAAGGAATTTGAAACGGACATATTAGAGATGAAAAAAAAAAAAATTAGCTCTGAATTCCTACCTTGCCAGTGGCAAACTGAATATAAAATTAATTATCAAGAGCAAAGATATTTTTACCCACAAGTTCAATATTGCTTCCAAATTAAGACTATTCTGCAAAAGAGCTCATTGTGATCTCCTTCTCTTCACTGCTGAACTCTGAACTAAATTGAGCTAATCGTACTTGTACTTCATATACAGCTTTGTTTCACATTTTGATTTGAAATCCTTCAATTCTCACAGACCTTAGGATTTCTGAGATCACGTTAGCCCCTTTATCAAGTTGTCCTCAGTCTTGATCTTTCTTAAGCCCCTCAATTTTCTATCACACTTGGCTTCACCACGTTCTGTATTGTCAGTATCTTACCAAGACTGTGCTTTGTGGGTTCCAGAAAAGGCTGATAACACTGGGGAGATATGCTAGAGCAATATAAAAAATATTATCTTCCTTCTCTGTAATATAATGCCTTCAGAAATGCAGCTCAAATGTTTCCTGTTTGGCTGTTTGCTGCTGCCAGTATCTCTTTACCAATTAGCCGAAATTGCTATCTACCCCTCCCTCTAGATCCTTCACCATGACTATTTCCATCTTTACAAAAAATAAAACCACCTGTATATCACACTTATTTTCCTCTGCTGCATGGCCTTTTTCTCCCTACACCAACCTCCTTTCACTACCATAAAAGATTGGGTATATAACACAGTTTAGTCAGAAATAAACTTCTAAAGATATTAAGATTTTTTTGGTAATTGTATTAAACTGGAAACCTGTGGAGAGACAGATTCACCATGAAAGGGACGGGGAAAATACTTCTCCAGACTGTGAAGACTTAGGTGTATGTTAGGAAGTTCTTATCTTACCAGCTTTTCAGTCATTGTTTTTAAAGACACTTACTATACCATGAAATACTTAGGACTTCTATGGTATTTACCTTCCCATAATAAGAAAATTTATTATATTAAGGTAAAGAACACCTAAACATCCACTGTTTTAACCGTATTCTGTTTATAAACAAAACCACAGCACTTAGGTCACCCACTTTAGGTGAGAAAATGAGTAAACAGCAGCAAACTGGATTAAAACACAGTGGTCAGTTTCTAATTCATGTACTTGAGGCAGAAAAAGCAGTCTGCAAAATGTGATGCTGTTCAGTTTTCATTGTTGTTCTCCAACTCTGGGCGGAAACCAGGAAAGTTTACAGCAATCCTATGACTAGTGCAATCTGTGCCTTGCTGCATGGGAACCTAATTGACTGTCTGGCCTCGGGAAAGAGAAAACAGCGAGGCTTTGCCTCCTGAAGGTCCGAGGTCTGGCACAGCTGGGGGAGCGCACAACGAGCCTTAGGAGAGGGATCCTGCGCCGTCAGTGTAATTTGGCCATCGCAGATTCCTCAGGGATCGCCACAGCACGCTGATGTAGCGGTGCGCCTATAACCGCACGGGTGCAAGATAACTAAGCAGCCTCCCAAAAGTTACACTTCAGCCTCGCCTACTCACTTCTGCCTTCCCAGTCAGGGCTCTGCGGGGTTGAATTTTCCACTA